ACCTTTTCTTTACCTATGCTGAAGTACAGTAAGGCTAGCCTTAATCCATAATGATGTCGTTATGTATTTTATTGCATTTCTTTTGCACTGTGCACAGCCTGCTAGCCCCAGCCCAGGTACGACAGCACCCCCCACACCCTGTGACACTAAGCCAGTGATGGTATGCATGGAACATGTGTCATTTCCAGTGTCACTGGACTTCTACTGTAGCAAAGTGCAATACTTAAGACAGAAATTACTCAAATTAAAGTAACATTACTAATATTTAAAAATGATAATGGAAGTACAAGACACAAAAAGTACTCACAGAAAAGAGGGTACATTTCATTTGTTACTTCCACCCCCGCTGATCAGCAAAACAGTTTCCTCCAAATTGTCTCTTGTTAATAAGTTTATTTAGCCGGTTGACCTCTTTAACCACCATTATTCAGAGGCATCTGGCAACATTCTCGCTCTGTCATTAGTCTCAGAAGAAACACATTTATGGATGTTGCAACCAGCTTGCGGTACTGTGTGTGCATGGGTGTGCTTTTGTGACAATGGACTAAATTCATCTATAATCCAATGAGAACAAACAAAACATCTACGATAGAATATACAAACATACAGGCAGCACTACATTTACAAATTGTTGAAGTTACTTTTAGCCAGCCATCTTTCATGTCAGGGAATAAGTAAGCTCCAGGATTTATTTTTGCAGTCAAGCATCTAAATCTTCCTGTTTGCTACCTCAAAACTAAACCCAGGTGATGAACATTTATGACTGAAGTTTATTGCAGAGCACAGGTAGTCTTAATGCTAATGCTAGCTGAGCGGTAACCACAGCAGGTGAACGGTTCTGTTCGAACAGCCAGAGTTTGGAAACGATAACTGGATGAGGTGATTTAGTCTTTCATATCGCTGCAGAGCAGACTGACATGGACGCTGTGTGCGAACAATTTTTATTCCACTAACTTTGCAATAGACTGGAATGCACCTGCAGCCATAGACATTATTTTTCCCCCACACTGGTGTTCAAATACCTCAAGTAATGAGAATGTCGAGATAAAGGCAGTTATTGCAACATATGGTACGTCACCATCTGAAGTCAACATCCTTTCCCTATTCTGCTGACAATTTTATTGATAACATTTTGTTTGACATCATTAGCATCCCTGCCCTTTCCACAAAAATGTAAGCACTTTTTCCAGGCATGAGTATTGAGCTAATGTTAAAGTGGTGAAAGTCCGGGCTGTCACTTAAATCAGAGGCAGAGCAGGAGGGATTCCTTCCCCACTCTCTCTCCACTCATGCTATCAAAGCCCATTCTGTTCCATTTTTATACTGTTGGAGTGTCCTGAGAGGAACTGAACTGTGGCTTTCAACACACTTTAAACCACATCTCCAGCTGATAGCCCATTGGCATTTTTAAATTGCTGTGAAAATTGCTGCCAGTACGCTACATGTGTGAGTTCATGGGACTGTTTTTTTGTAAGTTTTTTCCAACATATTGAAGAGTTTGGGATCATGGTTATTATTGCTGCTTCATCTTGACAAATTTCTCAATTTATTGGTGGTGACTGATTGATACCTCTGTTTCCCCTTATGGCTCACTGTAGCTGCAGATTCGGTGCCTGTTAGTCTGTGGATGTTATTTCTGCTGCCTTCACAGTTTGTCGAGACTCCCTGCTGCAGTTTGATTGTTAGTTAGATCACTTTTAGTCTCCAGGTCATTACTTATTTCTGCTACTGTCACATATGAGTTGCTTGATTCTTTTATTAGCATTTACTGTAAAACCAATAGGCACAATTGTCACAATAAGCCAAGTAAAAGACTTCTTCATTTGATATATTGCCAGTTATGTAGACTACAGCTTAATATTTGGGGAGCATAAAAAGCATAAATTGTTTCGCTTGATACACCAAATATTAGCGTGTAATGCACCCTTGTGGTTCGATATATTTGGAGTTACGGACCCGACTATTGTGAGGAAACTGGACTCAATCTTCAGCAGTATCAGCGTATACATTGCTGTCTGTTGGCTGTCGGATGTTGCCGCTGGGGTCCACCAAAAGAGAAAAACTTATAGTTGCCTTACGACGGAGATGATATACATTTTTTTCCCTGATTCGCACTGTATGTAAATACATAATGTGAAAAGCACACACTGTTGACTTACTGAGACATTGGCTCATGCCTAAAATACACTTTGGCTTAATTAGTTTGCCATTACATTTAGCGTCATAATGAGAGCTGTCGTGCACTAGTTGACAACACAGTATTAAGCATAGCAGCCAATAATAGTATAGTTGTATCAACTATTTTAATCCATGGAGGGGGGGATACAGTATTTTTCTTTTCTCATAATCCTACTTTATAGTTAATGTTTTGTTAATCAAATCTTTCTGTGTTGAGTTGAAATGGTAAATTTGGATCTGAAATACAATCTTGCAAAGCCTGCTCTTTTGATAGGAAAACATTACAGGTACATAAGTCTCATGCCTGACGAGCGAAATAGAGTGAGACAGTATTTGAGTGCTGCTCTCAAGCAGAGGTAGGCGGTAATAAATGATATTTTGATAACAGCAGTAATCAGCCTTATTCCCTTGTTGGGTACACCCTTGCTGATTAGTTAAAGAGTAATCATCAATAAATGATGCATTAATTTTAATCATGCTGTGGTTAAAATGAATGTATCTGTGGAGCATGACCTTTGAGCGTGTGCAGATGCGTTTTTGCTGTTTTTGCTATGACCACACGCCGCACAGTGCTGGAGGCGATGAGCACTATGGTTGGAAAAATAAGAGCTCATCCTGTCGTTGCAGTAATTTACGCTTTGCTAAATAGGTCAATGAGATCGTTTGTTTTCACTATGGCATAATATACAAGGGGGAGATGTGTTGGGCATGGTACCACAGTTGATGAATTATGAGAAAGATCGTAATCACATCAATCTTTAAGCAGATGTTGGCTAAGCTGTAAATGTGAGGATTTCAGCAAAGTTACTTGTGGAGCAATGTTAAATTGACTCATGAACTTGCTCTATTTCGCTCCCTGTACTCAAAGAAACCAGAGGCACTTGAAAACAAATGAACTGAAAGCTCGGTATGATCACTCTCTCAGAGTGCCTGGCTTTTCTTAGAACCCACCAAATAACAAATGGCAGAAGTACGCGTTCAGGTCAAAACTAAAATAGTGCGCCTCACACACTGGAAAAGGTGGCAAGTCAAGGAGTCCTCCCACAGAAAAGTGGAGGCTTTAGAAGAGAGACAATGACATGTAAATGGTAACGCTGAGCCAGCCGTGTATTTCACACTGATACATAGTTGTCTTTTCTTTCCCACTGCTAAATATTCATACAATCTGCATTAAACCTGCAATAGCTGATGTTTTTGGCCACTTGGGGGCAGCAGAAGAAAGTTGTGAACACAACACTGGTATGCTTTATGGCATAGGTGTCAAACTCAAGGCCCGTGGGCCGAATTGGCCAACCACGTCATTTTATGTGGCCCGTGAAATGAAATTATGAGATAGAAAGTCAAAATGATAAGATACTTAAACACAACAGTCATAGAAGCAGCTCTTTGGCAGGTTGCCCTACATTTGACATAGAAATGGATTGGGAGTACATTGAAGACTTCTTTAAACGTGGCTTTACAACAGATGAAATCTGTGGGTAAATGGGTGCATTTTTGAAGCAGTGCATGCTAAAGGTATGTGAGCACATGTGCTCCGACCAGATACAGACTTTTAAAAATGTCAGTTTCTGAAGAAACGCCGTCGCAGACCGAGTTCAGGAACTAGCAGGCAATCTGACAACACAGCTAGCCGAAGAGACGAGCAGTTACTTGTCTTTATATCCTTGGCAACCTGATGAATGTTAGTCCATTATTCACTGTCTTTTAGCTCTACCAACTCTCGAGGGAAATAACTGGCTCTCTGGCTGCTAAATACTCTTTTATGTTCACCGGCTAGTCACTAACTGTGTCTGTCTGCTGTTTAGTGATTAGCAGTTAGGGGTACATTGCTGATTTTTTCACTGACAACAGCTGCTGTGTGTGATTGGAATATGAAATAAGTCAAATTTCGGGGGGGCGGACCGTCCCACTACCCCATACCACTGTCAACCATCTTGGAGTGCTTATGCATTGCACATTTGTCGTGCTGGCTCACATCGCTTTTTCCTCCTCCTGATGAAAAAAAATCCATGTGAAAGACATTAATTTAACAGATTTGCTCCTCATTAAGTTTGGGTAAGCCTCCACTCATTTGGTGAGACACTTGCACAAACCTCCATCCCTCTCGCGCTCATCCATCCTTTAATCCTCACGCTGCCGTTCCTCGTCTTCTCTTCCTTTTTTATAAACCTCTTCCCTATGTTACAGCTAATGTTCTACATCCTGCCATCTGCTTTACCAGAGGGTAATATAGCAAACACAGGAAATAGGCCTGCCAGTTATGCCTACCAACATCCTTTTGTTTGTTTTTTTAGAAAGGTAAAATATGCGGGAGATTATACAGGAAAATATTCAAAAAGGACAGCGGTAGAAAGGGGTAAAATACGCGAGAATCCTGGTAGAAACAGGGTTGAGTGGTATGAGTTTGGTGGGGCTGACATTAACATTGAGTGCTTATAGTGCACCTACACATTGTTTTGCGTGTGTGTGTTGACCTGAAATTGTCTTGATTCGATTTTTGCTTCCACCAGTGTGGCCATCTCTTTGCTTGTGCATTATTCATTCCACCTCAGTTAGTGCCTGGTGGAACAGTGTAGTTCTTGTGGGATCTGAAGCCCTCCCTACTTAAGCCGTCATCCTTCCCTGGATTAAATAGGGAGCAACAAAAAGAACACAGCCTTTTCTGCTCAATTAAGTGTATGATCATTCTCTGACATGTTTCTGATTGAGTTATTTACAAGTAAGATGACAAATATCCCACACTGTATAATTGCCAACTGAAGTAAAACGGCAGTGTCCACATGTGCAAATCTATCAATACAGACCGGCAAAGCTGTATTTAATGCATGTCACTTTGTAGAGATGCGTTTTTATTTTGACATTTTTTTCCAAGGGGTATGAAGCCATTCTACATAAAGACTTTGATGTAAATATGACGGATAAAAAACAATCCATACATTCATCAAAATTCAATGGTGCCAATAGTATAATCTGACAGCCGGTGATGTGCCGAAATCAGATTAGCATCATGTGTTGTAATCCTGTCTCGCATAAATGATGATGTGAGAGTTCTTAGTCATGAATATCGTCAGCGTCCTTCTGTTCTTGCTCAGGCACACAATTTCCTCTTGTCCTCTATCCACCGTTGCCTTGATCCCCCATCTTGTTAGCGAACCACTTCAGTATTTGTGCTCTTGTCCTCTCCTTGTTGTCGCTGTGCCTTTTCACTGACATGTCAAGGATGAGATGTGAGGCAAAGGAAGGAGACATGTCATTCTATAGAAAGCAACCAGGTTTGAATGTGCAGAGACGGGGGATGTCCCTGGGTTTATCAAAGTGGGTACCTTTTATCAGGGTATATACCTTCATTGGAGTTTGCAGAATGCACAATACTGCAAACACCATCTGTGTCAAACTCAAACATAAATACTGAAAAGAGGAGAAACAGTCCAACCAGAGGTTATGTACACAGTATTGTGACCCTGCAAGACAAGATGGATACATCTGCATTCATAAGTAGGTGAGGGAGAAATAAATAGCCAAAAGAGTTGGGATTGAAGATATACCTGTCAATATTATTGCCGGACCCTGCTGGATTCTTCAGGGCATGCAACTTCTTGCTGAAAAAAAACATGAAATGAATGAAACTATTCCAGGAGTAAAATGAAAATAAATGTAAAGAGGAAGAAAAAAAAGTAAACCAGCTTACCTCCATGTGGTTTTCCTCAAAGGTAACTTCTCTGGGAGACCAGGGGAGAGAGGGAGAACACGTCTTATTCAGAGCATTGCTATCCTTTCCTTCATGTGTTGCAATAAGGTTGAAGTTAAATGAGAAGACCTGAAAAAGACCAACACACGCTTTAGTGAACCACTTGCTCGGTGTATATTCTGGCCAGACTGGCATCAAGCGGCTGCCTTCTCCTGCACCAGCTTTTATAAGTCGGTTTATTCACCAACCAATCAGAGGCCTTCAGTCTTTACAGCCGCATGTGTATCTCGTTAGCAATCAAGCTCACTTTCAATCAGTTGCAGGTGATGAGGTTGGAGTTGCCTTTCAGCCTTAATGGGTGAGGACACTTATAAAAGCTGTTGCAGCAGACAGCAGAGACATAGTACCACCCCGGCCAGGATATACACAAAGCAACTGGTTCACCTTAGCGCGTGTTGGTTGGCAGGTGTAGTTTTCTAGCAGCTAGCTTTAAACTCTGCCAACACATCCATTGCGATGACGTTTGTGTTCTGCCTTGGGTAAGTATTATTTTGTGGCAACCTACAGTCTATTAAGCTTTATCTTTGCATGCAGGAGAAACGTGCTTTTGTCTTGCAGTGTATCCTTACTCCTGTCTGTGTGGTCCACTGCAAAATGTTCTGGCATCCCCGAAGGTAACTGAAATATTTGGCTCGTTGATCCACAATAACTAATGGAACCTCCATATGTTGACCGTGACTCTGTTTGTGCACACAGGAGCTCTTCATATGGAGTGTCGTGATCGTTACTTCATGATAGCCGTTGATCTCTCCTTCACTGGGGATGAACCTCTCTTTGAGGCCGTTGGTAAGTCCTGCACAGCTTCATCATGCTAGGCCATCACTGTCTGACATGTGCTGTGAGGGAATTAAGCATTTTAGGAGTTGCATCCGAACTTACTCCACATGCATCTATGAAATCAGTTTATAGTCTCTAGTTAGAAATCCATCCTTTCTATACCTTAATAAGAACAGGTTTGGACATATTAAGCTGCCTTGCTCGTGTAATATTTGTCTTCCAGATGGGACGGGTGTGTACGCCATCACTAGGTGGTATGCAGCTCAGTGTGGCTACAGCGTCAGACTTCTCCCTCTACTGGGCCACGTGGGGCTCCGAGCCTCTTACTTCAGCTGTCACACTGACAACAAGGTGCGTACAACTTGCATATGAAACTTCTTTTTTCTACTTACTATTACTGTACAGACGAGGTGTTTTCCACTCTGCTCTTTCAGGATGATGAGGTCTTCTTGTTTAACTTCAACCTGATTGTGACACGTGAAGGACGGGAGGACAGCTATGCCCTGAACAAGACCTGTTCTCCCTCTCTCCCCTGGTCTCCCAGAGAAATTACCTGTGAGGAAAACTACATGGAGGTAAACTGTTTTTTTTTTTATTTTCCTCATTAATAGTTTCGGATGTTTACTAATTATGACTTCTTCCCAGGTGTCTGTGAGGAGTGAAGTCGCCTGTCCCGCTCGGACAGTAAAGGATGACTGGAGTGCTCTTAAACCTGTATGTTTAAAAATGCAGACTAAATGTCTCATTCTGTGCACCTTGTTTGTTTTTAAGACTTTAAATCCCTTCCCAGGCACATAGCTCCACCACCTCAGACTGGCAGGTGACGTTTCAGAGAAATGAGGAGCAGTTGCCGCCCATGGCCCTCTCTGATGCTCGCAAGAAGGGCTACGCGTTTGGCTTGACCGATGGCAGGCTGGTGTTTCGTACTCCGTACGGGCAACCTGAATCATTCAGCACTGAGGTAAACCACTGATGCATAAATCTGTCTTGTGACTTTGAGTTCAAGCAGGTTTTTAATGAGTCTCTCTCTCTCCAGGTGAATGGCGTTCCAGTAGAGGAGGTCCATGCAACGCTGTTCTCCAGACAAAGCTGGGTTGTCCTCATGGTCGACCTGGTGACTGCTTGCTCCATGTGTCAGTATTACAATATTTTCTGCTGTGGCTTATTCTCCCCTTGATAGAAGAGTACAGCTATAATAAAAGTGTAACGTCCACAGATGAAGGATCTTATGACAGCGGCTACATGGTGTGGCGAACTCCTGAGGTGCCGTACCAGAGTCTTCACGGAACACAACTCAACATTGGTCTCAATGGTGAACTTGTGGCGCAGCCAGTTGCAGAGGACAGACACTTTGTTGTGGGGAACATTAACTCCACAGTTCAGATAAGAGTCCCCTTAACTGCTGAAGGAGGATACAGGAAGGTCAGAACACACTTAGGAGTAGATGTTGTAATGGTCAGATGTTGTCATAGTGGACAAAGATATAATGTAGAACATTAAACTCTATATAACAATCTAACTTAAAACCAGGACCATCACAATTTTTGGTCATGTTTTACCTGTTCTGTAAGTATTCTCCCTGCGTCTGTTTCAGAGCTTCGTGCTTGGCGATCTCTTTGAGATTTATGTGTTTCATCTCTACTTGGAGCAAATCCTGGCAGATGAGGATCGCGTAGAAACCAGAGTACGATTCCAAAGGACTCTGTCCACTCCCCTGCTGCCACACCCCGTTTTCACTGAAAACCAAACGGTTGCTGACGAACTCTCATTCACGGTCTACCTCGGAGACGTCCCTGAAGACATGGAGTTGGTTGCTGTTTATTTGAATGGAGATGAATTTACAGTTCCATTTATGAACAAGAGAAGCTACAATATCACTAAAGTTGTTCACCCGAACAACACTCTTGGTTACATTCTGAAGGTGCCATTTGATGACCCTGTTGTCCTGCTGCAGGTAAAGGTTCTTTTGAAAGAAGAGTGACTTTAAAGTCTTGCAACTGTCATGTGAGCGCAAGACATCACTTCATATTTTTTTATTTTTTATTTATTTATTTATTTTTTATTTTTTATTTTTTTTCCTCCTAGTTCTCTGGCGACGCAGTTCTTCACTATGAGCTGAACATCAACTACACACTGACAATCCTGCCTGAAAACGAGCCTTTTTACCACCTGACTTCAGTCATGGCATTCATTGATGCCTGTAAGTCGCTAACCTTTATTTTTAGACTTTGCCAGTCCTACTTGTGCATGAAGAAAATTAATCCTTGTTTTGTGTTTGACAGCTCCTCCAGCCTTTGATACCGTCTGTTCTAAGTCTGGCATCAGCTTCAGTTGGGACCACCGGCCTTATGACTCTCTCTGGGAGATCGGTATCGGCTCAGACCTGCTGACACCAGAGCTGGCGGCCAAACACGGCTACATCATGAGCAATGATAGCCAGAGTCTGCGGCTAATGGTGCCGCTATTCTCTCACGGCTACAAGTACAACGTGAGTTGAGACTCCTTAAACATCTTGTGTCCTTTAGTTGACTTGAACATGGCGCTGAATGTCTAAGCTGCTTTTTTTTTTTTGTTTTAGTTTGAAGGGCTTCTATGGCACCTTCAAGATCCTCATGCGGGATCATGAGACATCAGAGGTCGAGAGCTCAACTATCAAGAGTTGTCCGTTCTCTACTAATGAACTCATTTGTAAGTACATCCTGTTACTTACTTTGAGAGCAGGTGGGGGTCTCTGTATAGCTGATAAAATTCTCGAACACCTCTTTCTCTAGTGTGTTCGACTCTAGGGATGTTGACTGTGGTGGCCGACATGTCTCTGGCCATCCCAAGCGGAGGACTTCCTGCAAGATTCAACCTGGTCGACAAATTCTGTGGAGCCAGAGAGAAGAACGGCACCAGGGCTCTGTTCTCTTTTCCAATCAACACCTGCGGAACCACCATCGAGGTACTGCTGCTACAGATTTAAAACCAACGTTGCTATTGGACCAAATGATGACAAATTTGTATCGTTTACTTTTTTTCTTTTAGCTCAGCATGGGAAATGTGACTTATCAAAATGAGATTTTCTATAGCGGGAGCAGTCAGGTACACTCTGATGCTGTTGAGAGGTATGTGTTACAATACAGTGTTCAATTGTAAAGAAATGCTGCACAGCACAAGAGGGGTATTTAATTGTTTTCTCTCTTACAGGGTGATGGTACAGTGCACATATCCTCTGGCTGGTCTTCATCGCCTCTTCACAACATTTAGGTTTGAGTCCGACACTGCTGGTATCGGCAGCATCATCCACACTGCACGGCCCATGTCAGGTACAGTAGTTTGTTCACTTGTCGGGAAATGACAGTTATCACTCATTTTGGATTTGGCTCATTTCTCATCTTTCTGTGCTTTAGATGTGCAGAGTCTCACCATCAAGCCCACTACAGCGCTTCAAACCACACCTGCTAGTCCAGCAGTCTCACGCATGCATGCTGACCACCCCTCTACTCGCTACATCAAAGTTCCTAGTTTTCACAAACTTGCCAATGTTGTGAAGAGAAAGTGAGAACTTTTTATCATTTAAAACCTCTATTACCGAGCTATGGTGTCACTTTGTTAAAAATGTTGACTGTCTTGCCCTCTCTTCACAGGAGCACAAGGATCCAAGCAAAGTAAATCCTGCCCTAATTTGAAGGAAGTGTAATTTTTAAATGGAATTTTTTTTAATTTAATAAAGCTGTTTTCTTAAATTATTTGTCTGTTAAATACTTGTCCAACTTCTACAGACATGCATTTAGACGCAGGAAGTTGTCAAACACCAATATGTAAATTAACAAGATGCAAGGAGTATTGGATATGGGTGAAAGATTAAAGCTGGCTAGTGAGGTAGACCTGTTACTGCACACATTTTAAGAAACAAAATGTTATGCTTTACCACTCTGTCATAGGGGAAATAAAGCACTACTTAACCAAATTATCACATCGCTAAAGTAACCAAAAGCCCTGCAGAAATTATTACTCTGGAGTAGTTAAACATGGTGTCACCTTAAGGGTCAACAACAAACTAATAACTTCACGGAAGCATTTTCAATGCAGGAAACGTCCCTTAGTGGAGTATTTCTACTGGTACTTTTCACCATTTGAATATTACTTCCGTACATGTAAGCCTAATGAATATTTGGACAATGCACTTGACTCACCAGGGACATGAGGAACAACTCGACTTCTTAGCTTGACATTTAGGAACACTTAAGCAGGTTTGAGCAGAGAACTCAAAATTCGTCTTCCAGATGGGTCAGGTGTGTATGCTGTCACTAAGCAGTATGCAGCTCGGTGTGGCTACAGCGTCTCTACCGGAGCGTGTGGCGCTCCAAACCTCTTACGTCAGCTGTCTTACTGACAAGGGGTATACAAATTTTTTTTTTTTTTTCCCCCCTCTACAATTTGTTGCCTCTACCTCAGACGGCACTGAGATTCAGCGGTCTTGTAATTGATTTCAGATTTTGGCACAGCTTCTCCGGCAGCCACAAAAGGCTTTACAACTTTTCCCATATGCATAAGTCACAACCAATAACTTGGTTTGATTACATTTCAGTCTCAAACCTTCAACCTAGCAGCTTGAGGACCCTGCAGCTGTATTCTTACAGCTTCCCAATACAGTTGCTTCTTTTGCCAAAATGTTTAGAATTACAAAACTACCAGAAAAAAATTTGAAAGTTGTTTGAGCTACTCCACCTAGTTGCATGCCTTTGTCCCAACATGTTAGTCTCAATGACAAATGCAGAGTATTTAAGGTAACCAGGTCTTCTGGTGCATCTGGTAGTGGACTGTAGGGTGGGAGACTAGACTATAGAGAACAAACATTGTCGGCACGTATATGTTGTGGTTCATTCAGGTCAACAGGGGAATCCCCTATAGGTTCATTTATTCAGGCTTGTGACACCTCCAGAAAGCTCATCAGTGACGGGCATGCTGAAGTCGCTATACCAGGACCCTGGGTCTCAGGCATATGTAGCTCCAAATTTACTCCTGACTAAACCAGAGAGGGCAGCTACTGACATTTTTAGATATCTCTTGACACTGTTTGACCTTTAGCTGTCAAGTGTACCCAGACTTCTGATTGTGCTTTACTCATGTAGATTTCAGCCTCAACTTGACTGGGCTGCAATCAAGCAACGCCTACGCTTGCCTTTAATATCTAACGGGAATAAATAGGATAGTTTATATTACAATAAAATAAAAAGTTAATACCATTTAAATTACATGGGTTGAATTATTATGGACACGTTGCAAATCTTTCTCCAAGCTATTTTAGTTATACTACAGTATTAAGGAGTCAGACATCGCCGATGGAGTGTTTCTCATGAATTTTAACAAGAGTGCTGTGGCTTTTTGAGGCCATTTCAAGGTGGCACGCAGCTCTCCGTCAGTCAATCTGAGGAGCGAGTGTTAAAGCAACTCTGTCTTGACCCTATAATCAGGTGTCTGTCTGTCTCTGCCCTATTGTTGCAGAAGAATGGAAGAAAAAAGGAACTCCTGTTTTTTGCTTGTTAAACATGAAAGCAGTGTGACTCTTTCGTCCCTGTAGGCATCGACACACTTAATGGAAACACTTGAGGTGCTCTGGGTGTCAAAGCAAATGTTTTAAGATGACATCAAATGGCAAATCTGCAGCTGTGATGGATTCGTTTTTTGTTTTTTCTTCATCACTGTAGAGTCATAGCCTCGTAAAAAATCAAATTGCAGAAATAGTGTGGTTTGGATGGCCTTCGAAAAGTGCATGGGCAATGGTCATCCAGTTTATTGTGCACTGATTGCACTGATCTCCACCCGTCGATACATGCTCTCCTTCAGCCATTATTATCCATGCAGAATAGCCCCCCCCTCCCTGAGTTTCTTTGTGCATGCAGGGTCATATTTAAATAGGTTCACTGAGTTATCTGAAAACCTGTTAAACTTGTGTTTGTTTGGTATTTCTTGTTTTATTCCAATAAGAATTTTGGAAGGCATATTAAAGCAAAGGTAAAGGGGTTGCGCAATCGTCCTCTGTGTAGCTTTAAAAAAAAGTTTTAATTATAAACCACACCATTCCTACACTGATTTGGAGAAGGTCATATCTGCAATTTCTGCTTGCCTGGTCTTCTATTCTCGTAAGACCTTCCTCTCATACCTGCCGTCTATCCAGAAAACTGTATAATTGTATTGTGAAAAAAAGATCCTGGCACTTACTATTTGTCACTTATTTTTAGATTTAATTGCATTTCAAGCACTGCAGTAAGGCTGCCTCAACCTTAGATCCCTCACAGTAAATGGCACCTATAACGAATTAGACTTTTCTATCAAGGTCAACATACATTGAGACGTATTGTGACTCAAATCCTAACATGTTGCACTTTATAAATGGCTACATTTCAATTATTCTAACCTACAACTCTCAATTCAAAATGAAGAAGGGTTGACTGTGAAAAATCTGGCTCACTGACGAAGAGCAAATTGAGCAAAATGTTTATAGTATAATAGTAGGCTACCTGAGGTATTGATTAAAGAATGTTTCTTAATTCGGCAGGCAAATGCTGCATTCAAATAAAAATTAAAAGTTTACATTGTTTTGATTTTTATTGTAAACGTGACTTTCAAATATGTGTGTGTGTGTGTGTGTGTGTGTGTGTGTGTGTGTGTGTGTGTTTATATGATCCTTGTGTAAACGTTTTTTTAAACCTATTCTCAAAATTAAAAGTTTTCTATTATTATTATGTGTTATTATTGTAGCCTGGCAGTAGTATCACTAGTAGCAGTAGAGGTAGCAGAGGCAGTTGAACGTTGATGTGTGTATTGCTCTGTATTGTCTCTTTTCATCTCCATTCAGAAACGCTGCAGTTGTGGTCACGTGACCAGCCCGCTGCCTAATCACGTCGTTCAAATGATGTGACGCACTGACGCACGAGATTCAAAGTTGGCCGCAACGTCCCTGTTGAGATACTCTTGAGTAGCACAACTTTTTCAGCCGCAGCTGAAGCTTGTGGGAAGCTTATACAAGTTCTATATACATATCTTCATGTTTTCACACGAGTGAAGTGGGGTTTTCGTTGTCGGAATGGACGGTAAAGTCATTGGACCGGGCCCGTACCGGGCGACCAAGCTGGTGAGTCTGTCGGTAACGTTAGCGAGGCGTACACATAAATGTGACGTCGAGAAGCTTAATGTTACATTTTAACGCTACAATGTAACGTTAGCTAAATTAAATGTGTCAAGTTTGTTTGATGTTAGAGTACGTTCATTGCCGTGATCATTTAAATTGCATTCAAACAGTAAGCACGCAAACAAGGATAACATACTTTAGAGCTTCCTCAGTCCTACATTTAACGTTAGTTAGGTTAGTTAATTAATGTTAGTTAAGCTAGTTTAACAGTTGATTTACTAAATTCACGCATTTTGTCCTCACGAAAAAAAAGGAAGGCTTGCAAAACGGTACTAAAAGTGTGTTAGAAGAGTCAACAAAAGCAACTTGTGAGGAGAAATGGTGCTCTGCCCCGAGGTGGGTAAACCATAGCAACACAAACACCTTCAACCTTAACCGACATGTTGTAACGTTAATGTAGTTGTGACTCTTACCGAAACCATGCAGCAGTGTCGTTACGCGTCTAGTATAACCTCATTCACATGGATATACAACAAGGTGTTTACATTCTGAGTAACTGCACATGTAACGTTACCTAACTGTTCAAAGTAACGTGAATGCTATAGTTAGTGTTCATACTGCATCGTGTCCTTGGCGTGAGGAGCTTCTTTTCTTCACTTCATGTAAAAGCCTCGCACATACCGTGCTGTTATGTCAGGTGTTTCTATCCAGCTCACTGTCTGTGAGCGAAATCATACACTGCATTTTAAAGGCCAATTTGTACAAGACTACTGTGTTAATTCACCCAGCCATGTTATTCAAAGCTTTCCTGTAAGCCTTTTTTTCAAAGCAGACATTTTGACTTTGTCACATGAAGAAAGGTGCTGTCCTAATAACGTTAACACCGGCGGCTTCATGCTGAAAAGTGTTCCACTGGCACAATAGCAGGACCCTGAAACCAAAGCAGCCAAATGGATTTCAGCCTTCATTCATTTTTATTATTTGAACCTGTTCCTTTCTTACCGTGACATGTCAAAATGTTAAAAGAAAAAGAAGGTCGAATAAAATAAATCAGGCGCGATGAGATACAGAGTTTGCCATTGCACCTGAAAAACAATTTTCCTCTTTTCTGTGATCCGGTTTATTTTGCTACAGTATGTGTCTCTTTAGGCTTTCGTCTATCCATTTTCAGCTGTTGTATGTCGCGTTTGGGCCATCTGGTGTAAAAATGCAGTTTATTAAGGCGTCTTCTATACAAAGAAAGGTTACAAGTACATTGTAAATACACAAGCCATTTTTTTTTTTTCTCAGAGAAGAAACTGAAAAACCGATTACCTGCCACCTGCTGCCCCAAAAAAGACCTATGAGGTGGAGCGTCATGCAGAGCTGTCTACGAGGACAGAACCTTTTCTGCATCTTGTTGTAATGAAAGAGCAGTCCTGTACCTTCTCTCATTACGCTCGAGGCTAACTTATTGGCTGCTTGTCTTACGTTTTTACATTTTCCCAACCACACATTTAGCTCTATTTAAAATTCAGACTAGCCACAGTGGGCATCATTTGCTTCAGTTTGTTACTCTCCTGGGTTGTAATGGCCTTGTGTAGACAACTTCCCTCTCTCTATCTCTATTACTTTCTACTTCTATCTGTTGTTTTCTTTCCCATCTGGAGAGCTGATGATCCCTAACCCCTGCACTATAAGGAGGACATAATGTTCTTTTTCTATTAGTGTTTGTGCACAGATTTGATGGTGTAATATAAATGTAGTCTATAAAATGAAGAACATGCACAGTATTTTATATTCCATATGGATGTATACTTTTGTCTACGGTTGCTTTATGCATCGTTATTTTACAGTAATCAGAAAAATGTTCCAAACAGCTTTCATAGCTCTGAAAATAGGAACTTGTTGAATGCATAAACTGCTGTTATCTGGGCTCAATCAGAGCTGTAGCTTCAGTGAAACATTTGTGTGCCATATCTTAATATATATATATTACATTAGATTGCCGAGGAACACTCACTTGATTTGCTGTCCGTGACAAACGTCATGCAGCATTTGTCACTCATGATTGTCTCCCTTTGTCACTTTTGTTTCCTTATTGTGCAGTGGAATGAAACCATTAAACTGTTCCGCGGAGGCATGCCGCTGAGAAGGCACTGGGCACACTTCCGCTGCTTTGATTGCAGTTTCACGGGGTCCGAGGCTGTCGATTACCTGCACGAGCTGCTGAGGCGCAACTACAACTTTGGGCCTGAGGTGAGGCGCTACCAGACTCTGCAGCTGCTCAGGAAGTTCCTCAAGGCCCACGTCATTGAAGACGTCAAAGGACGCCACGGGACGGAGGACTTTGAGGACAATGGTCATCTGTACAGGTACTACTTAGTCATCCTGTGCTGTAACTCATGTTAGTTGATACACCGTTGGCATCGTTGCTGCATCTTCACAGCTTGTTCCTTCGGCTGAGCCCAGTGCCGTTGACTTTCTCTCCAGGTTCCCGACCTCGTCCCCCCTGAAGTCTTTTCCAACGAGGCCTCTGTTGAGGGACAGCAGTGACCTTCCTCGACTCATTCGCTGGGACGACTACGAAGACTTGCCTCAGCGGGAGAACATCGCGCCCCTGAAGTCTTCGGTCATGGTGAGAAAGAGAAAAAAGTGTTTTGGCTCCTCCGCTGCTCGCATAGACTCATGCTGTGCTTTAAGTGTGTTAGCAGATGCCAACTTAATAGAGAGCAAATGGTAAGATATTTTACTACTGGGTCATTTACATCATTCTGCACTTAAGGTTACTGAAAAGTTCAAATCAAAGGTCAGTTTAATGTAATGCAGGACAAGAGTCCAGCAGAACACACTCCTTCACTTTTACTTTTTGTTCAGACTGCTGCTGTAGTGGCTTCTTTGTTGCACTGTGTTGTGTTGGACAGCATTATATCGGAGGGTGTTTTTAATATTTTGTCCACCATCTTTACATGTATGGATCAACAAAGACCGCAGAAAGACCACATATTATAGTGTAATACATTACCGTAAAAAGTACATTCTGAACCGTACCATCACCATTGAGTTAAGATCAACGCATCATGGACACAATGACAACAATTGAAACATTTCTTTTACGAAGTTTAACCCTGGTAGGATTTCTTACATAAACATGTATTGTATGTTGTACTGTATGTCTGTATTGAATTGAACATGTTGATTCATGTCTCTGTTCCTTTTTTTTGGATCAGACCTCAGACCTGTGGAACAAGCGGCACAGTGTAGCTATTGGGGATGTGCACGAGTGCAAGCTCATACGAAGGAAGGAGATCACTCCAAAGCAAGTGGACCACATCTGGAAATCAATGACCGTTGCACAGTATGTAACCCTTTTACATAACTGATTAAACACTTTCACTGTTCATGTTGTTTGTGTCTATTGGTAGTCGTTCCAAGTTGTTTTATTTAAGGCTTCGGCACCCCTTTAAAGAACATGTTCTATCATGTCACCCATATGCACAACATGCATATAAAGTATGTACACAGATGTGGAAAAACTCCTTAACTGTCAGCCGTGAGTTGTCACATCGTTAGCTACGGCAGGAACCGTAACATAAAACGTAGTTGTGCTACGACACGTTATTGAAAGACTCGAGGCACCCCAGGGTGACGCAACACCCAGTTCGGGAACCACTGCTCCAGATACTTGATGCCCACTCTGTTTTAGTTTACAGGGAGTGCTGGGTCTGCAGTCAATGGACGGAGTTTTGAACCCCACGCATGTCAACGGCAAGCACATTGTTCACAATGTGTTCAGCGTGAATAAGACGGGCATCGTCGTACTGGAGAACAAAGCCGGTAAGATGCATTTGAGTCACAATTAGACAAACTGCAGCTTCTATATTATGACTCACCCATCTCTCTCTCATCTCCAGAGGACATGCCATATTGGGTGGTATCAGCAATGAAATGCCTCGCCAATTGTAAGTATACATTATAAGCTCACTTTAAAAATAACTTGTAAAAATATAAAAAACAATCACCATCTGCATTGGAGCCGGGACTGCAGCGGGTCCAAGTACCTGAAGGACAAAAAAGTAAAACGACTGATGAAGCCTCCAGTCCATTAATGGTCCTTTTTAAAGACTAGGTGCCATATTTCCCAGATGGTTGATGGTTCACTTCATGTTGAACTGTTCATACATTATGTAAATGCATGTGTGTGTGTGTGTGTGAGTGTGCGCACATACACCATCAAATCTAAAGCACCATTTTTGTGTGTGTATGTGCCTGTTTTCAGCATAAACAGGGGATAACAGTATGTTTCTTGTCTTCTCTCTCAGGGCCTAATGGCAATGAAAGCAAACAGCCAGTGTACCCGGGTTTTGAGAGGGATGTTCTGAGAACAGTAGCAGATTACTTTCAGAGACTCAGAGAACCACTTCTGACTTTCCATCTGTATGAAGTCTTTGTCAACATTCTCAGTGAGTGCTTCGCCGTGTGCATCAAAGACCGATATTGCTACGCTGCTACAGATAAACAGTCGCCGGTGTTCATTTTGTACCCAGCCTGTATGTTTGCTCTCAGTATCAGGACTCGTCTCTCCTCGTATCTCTGCAGGTCTGCTGCACGAGCAACAAGTAGCCACTGAGGCTCTTCAAGTCTGCTGTCTCCTGCTGCCGCCACCCAATCGGAGACGCCTCCAGCTTTTGATGCGCCTCATGGCCCGCGTCTGCCAGAATCCCCACCTGCCTCCACTCAATGACGCCATTGCTACCCGCACGCTGGTACAAATACCATAAGTCTTTTTCCTACATGTCTTTGTATGTAAGATAGACTACAAACAATATAATATGAATATGATATGTCCGGAATCCTTGCTCCCGCTCTGAATCTGCCCATGTGGAGCAGAGTGTCGCTGGGAGTTGATTTGTAATCCGTCTCTGTCTAGATGGTGCAGATGTTCTCACACTGCGTCCTGGGCTCAGTGGATGAGATGGACTTGGACGAGCTGCTTGCCACCAAACTGGTGATCTTTATGATGGAGCACCACAACACCATCTTCCAAGTTCCTTCCAAGCTGCGTTGCCAGGTCGAGGAGCACCTGTCCCACCTCAAAAGAGTTCAAGTCAGTAGCCTTTCTCCACTTACAGCTCATTCATGAAACGACAAAGACATATCTTTGGATCATTTGTAGAGATGCACTGTCTGACCTGCCGATTCCAATTTCCTTTCTTTCTAAGAACTATAATTAACATCTTACACAAACCTTTTTTTTAATGAACATTTTAAATGTAATTGTATGTCCATAATAAGACATTGACTGTTAAATAGCTTACATTTTTTCAAAAACTCTAGCAAATTACAGGACCTATTGTCACACAAGCAAATATCACAATAAAATTGCTCCACGTTACTGGAGAAATCAAATCCAACTGAAAAAGATTCTCAGTATGTCCAACTTCATCGAACATGAGCTGTATGTCTTCACTCACGCTGAAGAACGTGTGTGTGGCTGTGACGTTACTGTCTGTGCCGCTGTATGCACTGCGTAAAACCATCAGCTGACAACTGACCAATCGGTGCATCTCTAATCATTTATGAAGACAATGTGCCAGATTGATTCCATCCTCTTGCCAAGCAGTGTGGTACAGTCACTGATACCACACTAGGTTTGATAATTATAAAAGCCACATAAGATCAGGACATTACATCCATCTCTATGTTAATGCGAGTGGAAAACACTTGTTGCACTAGCTTGAGGCAATTACCATCAACTACTACTGCTACTGCTAAAACCAACTAGTTGTTAGTTTAGTGTCCCGTCAGGCTAAATAACCGGTTTGCTTTTGTAGTAAACTGAGGTGGGGTCAGCCGGTCAGCAGCATTTACCTCTGTGTGTGACAATATTTGAGTCTGAAGTCATGGAGCCAATTACATAAATCTAGTTTAAACATCGATATATTAAATGGCAGCAGTATTGCTCATCCAGTCGCTACGCTATCACTGCTGCACTGAAACCTGGTGCTCATATATCTGTTGCTATGGGAAACACCACACAATATCAGAGCTGATGCCTTAGTAGTCTATAAGGGTTTCACTTGTAGTCCCCACTGCTTCAAGGTCAACGTGTTGTTTGGTTTTCCTGCCGTCTTGATCGCTGTCATGTAGTGAGAGGAGAGGGCCTCTTATGTTAGTCCTCTGTGCACAGTTGGTTCATATTGATGTGCATGTGTTTTTCTTTTGGCAGGTACATCAGAAAATGTAGAACACAGACTGTATTCTGTGTTTTACATTATTTGGCCTTCAGGTGATTGATTTCATCTTTTAGCAAACGGTGGATGCATAAGCTTACACATCCCACACTGAAGACTGAAAACATTTCATTCTAGCTGAATGCTGTAAAAGAGATTTTAAAATGTTAACCCCCCCCCCCTGCACACTTAATATCTTAGGTGTCCTGTATTTGTCCTATTAATTATCTACGTCAGACAGTTCTGGGTATCATGTAGGCATACATAGCTACCCACTGTGTTGTATAACAGTACAGTGACTGAGAGGCTAGATCATCAACAATCAACATGAATCCTTAACAAATGGACAATAGTTGCAGTCGATGTCACAGATATGCTGTATTTACTAGCTAGTGAGTAGGTCGGGTTATTGGCTCCAGTTTTTCTATATATTTTGCATTTTGAGTTGTAATGTGGGCACATTGACATTAATTATTGATGATTATGCAGTCAATAAATACATTCCATATGTACTTTAAAAGCAGGGGAGCAAATATTCACAATATCCTAGTTTGTGTCACACCAGTGTATTACTAATTCTGTACATTCCTTTGTGTCTTCCATCAGATCAAATACGCAGGTTCAGATACAGACTTCAGCGCCTCTCCAGCTTTTTGTAAACAGATCCGCCGGGTGGAGGCTGAGGAGCACAAGGTGATAGGAACCCAGACCCCTCTGCAGGCGCTGCTGGAAGGCCTGATCGCAGACAAAGAACTCCCGCCCAAGGACAAGAGGAAAAGGCTTAAGCAGGTGTGGCTTTACTATTTTTAAATGCTTAAACTACAAATGTCGTTAAGTGTAGCTCCTGGAGGAGGGGCCTCTTTCAAGTCCTGATGGTCAAAATCAGACTGCTCTTGAGCAATATCCTGTCAAATTTACTTTTCAGCCGTTTGTGTTTAAGACTTGTATTTTAGTATGTTTAGGTGAGTATGTCTTTGGTGTGCACGTACTGTACAGTAATATCCTCCCCTTATCAGTTCCAGAGGTCGTACCCAGAAGTCTACCACAACCGGTTTCCCACTGAGGAAAGCAAAGCGGCCGTAGTGCCTGAGAAAGCCCCACGACTCAAACCTCACCTCATGTTCTTCAACCTCAAGCAGCCCTTCCAGAGGAGCTGGAGTTTTAGGGCGTGATCCGCCACACAAGTCAGCATCAGCGTCATGAGACAAAGAACAGTGTGGCCGGTATGGTGCCCTGATCACAAAACAGCACTGTTAAACCAAGCAAATAACTTTAAAGGCCAGTTCACACAAATGCACACAATAATAACACTAACAATAATAATAATTCATATTATAATAGGTCATTCCCACTGACACCCAGTGCAAAATACATGTGGATGGCTGAACTGACCCTTTGAACAAATACATTTTACTGGGTTGCTATAATACTTGACGGTACACTAACACTATGAGAGGCGCTGATGTTTCTTTAAATGAACTCTAATAGTTGTTCACACATTGTGTGTTGGTACATTCTTCTACTAAGGCACTGTCTGTTAGATCTAGTGAGGGCCGCCAGTGACTGACACTGTTGGTTCAAATGCAATGATAGGTCGTTAGGTGTTAACATTATAGGTTGTGAAAAGTTAATAACCAAGTGCATCATACTCTGAAAACATTTCCATTGGTATTTAGTTTTGCACTATAACAAAAAATATTCTGATGCATTTGTTGGTATGAATTAGTCTTCAAACAAATTATGTAATTTCATGAGATTTTTGTAATTACTTTTTGATGAAATGGTCACTGTTATGTTGTATCTAGGCAACTAAATATGTTTATCTTTATTCACTGAAACAGTTGCATAATGTCAATGAACATATCAAGTGTTTGCGACGTGTTCCATAACTGAGAGGCTCTAGTTGAGCTCCAGCTGATGAGGGTAAATCTTCAAGACGTGGTTGAGTATTGTAGATCATATCTGCTGTAAAACGTGCACTACTACATTTGAAATCTTAATCTGCTGAATCTGAATCTCAGAACAGGGAAAAAAGAGGCGAAAGCAAACATTTCACTTGCTATGAAACGTCCTGACTCTCTTAACCCTCCTTCCGCCTTACTTGACGGGTCCTGCTGTATGTGCACTCGCATAACAACTCATTTCATGTGTTTACCTGTTATTATTCTGTATATAAGAACTTGTCTTGACTGACACATATTTCAGTGTCAAATACTCATCTTTTACTGTTTTCAATGTATTTTGTCATGTTCTGTAACCTGCTGTTCCATCATGTCAATCAGGTTGTTTTTCCACTTAATCTGAGACTTAATTTTTTTTATAATAAGCGATAATGCTAAATGTGTTTTTTTATGAATGCTCTTGAACAAATGTAATAATGCTGGAATAACTGTTACACTTGAATCGCTGCTCTGCGCTGGAAAAAAACAGGATAAAAGTGAATTCATGTTGAGGCTGATTTTCCTATAAACTTTTAACTGGCCAACATAACGGTTTTGTTCTCTGTCTCCGGGGTTGTAGGTAGTTTTATATGAGGGATGATTTGATATTCTACACACAGGAATCTTGTTTTGATGTAACCGATACATGAACATAAGCAAACTGCTTCCTCCAGCATAGGACTCCAGCACTGCATCATCACCTGCTGTAGAACAGTAATAACACTTCAGAAACATAACGGGCACAGTTTATTGTTGCTAATGGAAGTCTGATTTCTGTTTGTGGTTCAGGCCCAGTCTGGAGAACACATCTGTAACATTTTAAACTGGGAAAAAAATCAATTATCATCCCATCATGGTATTAATACATGTAGTACTTTATCCTGAATCAAGAATAAGAGTTTGAATGGTTTGACAGTACATGTAGCAGGATTACTGATCGTTATGAACCAACACGGCAGCAGAATAGTAGAGCAGGGCCCAAAATATTGCTTTTATGCAACATTTTCCATCTTCTGTCTTCCCTTGCTGCCATATGAAAAGCTTTTACCTGATGGTAATCATACGGTGTGACAGAGAGAGGGGGGGTTCATTCTTTTGTGTGATGGCAAGTCAGCAGCTGACACCTGCATACTTTCACAAGTAAACAACCCACACAGTAAACACTCAATTGTGGAGGTGGAGAGAAAACTTTAGTACACATCATCACCCCGGATGCGCGATGATTCACAGTGTTGAAGCTGCTGTGTATACAATATTTATGCGGTCATGGCATCTTCCTAGTTATTCTTGTGGCACAGTCATCCTGGAATACATGTTCCAAATTACAAGGCAAGCCATCCACTAGTTATTGAGGTGTGTGAGGCCTTAATTTGCATCCTCCAGAGCGAATCTGTAATTTTAGCAATCATGCTGCCTATAAAATCTGCAGCATTTAGGTGTGAGCACACCTTAAAGTTAACCCGTCAATATCCTCAATCAGTGTGTGTGAAAATAAAATAACTCTAATGGATGGTGTCGTGGAGAGGTCTGTGGTCACTATGTTTCAGGTATTATCAGGGCATTAACAGTCCTGCCTTATTCCATTCAGGGTAACTGGGAGGAGCTGTTGTCTCGGAAGTGGAGTGAAGGAGAGGGAATTAACTTCATCATCGGGGGGGCCTTTTCAGGTCCTTTCAGGACCATTTCTTTATTATTACTAGGCGCTCGCTGCGCACACACTCTGAGCTGAGTCTTCTGCAGTTCTGAGGCTGTCAAAGACGCGTGTGCCCATATTTTTGGTTTTGAGTGTTAGTGAGTAAGCCCATTCTCACCCATCGGTGAAGCCCATGCTGTTTCCCTAATGCTTTTCTGGGAATAGACATGTAGCTTTGGTAATTGTTATTTCTACTCTGGGTTTCTTGCTCTGTACCTTTTAAGCAATGCAACAAAGGGAGAAAGCTAATCATGCTGTAAGTGTAATATTGTCCCATTATCTAAAGCACAAATATGTTTTGTTTTTTTTAAAGAAAATGATATATTGGTTGACAGTTTTTCTAGAGCTGCCAACACTAATGCTTCTGCTTCTTGATTGTAGTTTCTTGATGTTTTTGTTTTTAAGTGAAATTCACTCATGCTAAATTAAGAAAAACAAAATCGTTATTGATTCAGATTTGAACACACTATGCACTGACCATGTCTCCACTAATCATGCATCCGTCATAATTACAAGAACACAAACATTCACAGCACGTCGTTCACCTTCTCTGCAGAGGCAGTAAAACAGGTTTTCTGCTTCTTTTTTCCCCAAACTGAACGCACCATATTTTACTGTTACTATTGGCACAGAATTATGTGGACCCGAAGAGGCGCAGGAAGGGAAGAAACAACTCAAAGCACATCATTTTCTAAAAAGTTTGGAAGTGAATAAATCTATTTTGCATGACGCTTGTGCTTGCTTGGCATTTTTTCACAAACAGCTTAAGCACAACAATGCACACTGTAGAAGCTAATAGTGTTAAAGTTAAAAATGAAGTAAACTAGTGATGTACGTATTAGGGAATTTGCGGTTTATATGCATTATAATGACTAATTTCAAATGTGGAATGCACACGGAGACCTTTTCAATCCCGCTCTCTGTTTGGATATTTTATCTCCAGTCGTCCCCGCTGCTCCGTGAAGCTGAACTCGAACCCATTCTCGCTCCATCAATGTCAATTACATAACAGCACAATTTGAGGAAATGAGGCTGCACAGTCGTATAGGTGGGTAGAGTGAGCACCATGTTTGTGAGCAGGTGAATGAATGAGTGAGTGAGTGAGTGAGTGGTATTTTTACATCTACGTGAGTGTTTATTTTTCTTCAGCGTGCAGAGTGTGCTTTTTGTCTCTCATCCTGTTGATGTAACAGGCACTTAGCTTTTGTGCTCATCTCGAAATGTAATTGTAGGATGAGCAATTTCTTCTTGAGAAAGAAATATGAAGCATTATGTAAAAAGGCTGACAAAAAAAACATGAGGTGGGACGAGTATTCTTCACGATTGTATTTCTTGAATGGAAGAAGAATCTGTTCATTAGTTTTTAATGAAAGGACAGTTATGAATCATTATCTCTCTGTGCAGTTCTAGTGTGAAATCTGAATCATCAAGGCCCCATTAACCTACAATATCCATAGTTCTTCTTCAGATCAGTGGTGTATCATGCGTGAAGTTTTGCCGGAAGTGATGTAATGTAGCCCCGCTGAGTTTCATGTGGTGTGAGTGCTGCGCCGGACTCTGTTTGAAAGATTAGCTATTTAAATGCTTCACTGTTTGTCACCAACCTGTTATATGGTAACTTGGCAATCTGGCCATGTTTGCTCTGAATAATTTGGCAGTGGATCTCATTATGTCCATGTGAAGAGTGGTTCAATGTGGATTTTGAAAATGATAAATATTTAAAGAAATTTTAAAGAAACTTTATATTGTTAAATTTGAGAATGGAATTTTGTGTCACCATCTATATATATATATATATATATATATATATATATATATATATATATATATATAGATATATATATATATATTCTCTTCTTGAAGGATGATTAGTTTGGTTGTTTAGTAACTTCCCAAAAAGTCTTAAAAAACGAACATGGATAAGAACTGTGACACAAATCAAAATTCTGGAACTTAAATTGGATAAGTGAGGAGGTTTTTTGTTTTTTTCCATAGCACATTCTGTTCGTCAGAATCCAAATCCAAGTGACTGTCAGCCAGCCTGGCTATCCAAACAACCGTGCTGAATAATAATGAATTGGACAGACAAAAACAATGTGCTCATCTACAGTACCACCTAGAATTGGCCAGCAGAGCTGTGCTTTGCATAAATCACATTGAATTTGCCCAGTGCCAACAGAACAAAGCATTGTTCTCAAAGCTGCACCATCCACAGTGTGTTTGCTGCCTCAGTCTTTAATGTCTGCAGGCAAAGTTTTCTTGGTGAACGTTTGAGAAAACTGAGCAACGCTATCAAAGGTTTACATGAAACAATTTCGACAGATTCATTTTCAAAGTGCTCACAGCTGAACCTTATTTTATTGGAGGAAGCAAGTGTGTTTGTTTGTTTGTGTGTGTGTGTGTGTGTGTGTGTGTGTGTGTGTGTGTGTATTAGGTACCTATTGCAGCCTTAACTCAACCATTATTTTTGCTTTCAGCAAACCTCGCCCTCTGTGACATTTTCATTAATATTCATGTTTTCACAATGTACTTAAGGTCTGCCTTATGTAACATCTATAGAATAACATTATTAATAGCTAATATTGTTGTATTATTTACAATACTTGCTAGTAGCTTTGTGAGGCTCTACCTAAAATTGTACTCCACCGATTTAGCTTGCACAATGCAGTTTAAAAAAGAAAAGTATCAAAATCGATGTCAAAACCTGGCTGTCCAGGTGACCACATTACCCACAATGCAGCTCGATCGCAGACAGCTCAGTCAAACATTTGGGTGTGTCACCAGTAGCTTGCAGCTATGTATGTATTTGCTAATTAGCAGTAAACACAAAGTACCACTGAGAGTCATGGAAAGTCATTTGTTTTGAAAAAGTATTGGACAAATTTGTGGCAATTTATCCCTGAGGGGGTATAAATATCTGTACCAAATGTGATGGCAGCTGTTGAGATTATTAAAACAAAAGCACTAATGTCAACCTTAAGGTGGCGCTAACATTAGCTAATTAGCCATAACACAAAGTACAGCTGACGCTGATGGGAATATCCTTCATTTTGCAGCTTGCTTTACAAATACCCTTATAATGAATGAAAGGTTTACAAAAGTCTTTTACATAAACTTATAGGGAATAACACTGATCATTATAGGGAATAACATTGATCATACTAACACAGGGTGTTGTAAAAAAATTGAATTCCATGTGGTTTCATTCTCTGCATTTCTTGTCAAATGTTAAAAGGGGGCAACTAGCTCACTGGGCTAAGAGGGTTGTCTGGTAACCGGAAGGTTCTTTGGCCGGGACGTGTGTTCTGTGTTCTGTGTCGAAGTGTCCTTGAGTCCACTGACCCCCTAATGGCTCCCTGGGCGCCTGTCATGGCCAGCCCACTGTTCCCTGATACAGGGATGGGTCACATGCTCACTATAGTATAAAAACAATCGTTAGTGGTGGTGAATGTCTCGTGTAATTATATTGCAGTAGATAAGACTGCTCCATCAGCTGTTTCTGATATGATTTGGCTGAGATTATTTCCCGTGTACAAAATCCATTCTTTGGTAATATTCTTTGTCCTGAAAGCTCCCTTATTAAAGACCCCTTATTAGTACAAGGCACCGTGGGAAGACAGGCTGTTTTCTCAGCCCTCTTAGGGATCATTGGGTTGATTTGATGCCAGGAAATGTACTCCACAAGTGTGTGATCAGCTTGTCAACTCTTAGGGGAACCCAACTGGTGGGAATCTACTCTGTTATTTTCCCGTTGTGGCAGTGAGGGAGGTGACGGTTGTTGTGTTGTGTCAGTGAGGCTGAAGAAAAGCTTCCTTTAGTGAAGGCCACAATGAGATGTGAGAACACCTTTTTTGATTTTCATTTGGAAAAAAAAGCAAATATCGGAATAGCAAGAGTTCTTCAAGGAAATGCACAACGTTTAATAGAGTTGTATAGTATAAGTAGCACTGCATAAAGACACAATCAAAAGCCTGGCTATAATTCAAAATACCATCCAGATACAGAGTATTTCAGAGAGGCTTAACTGTTTCTTACATGATGCATTTTCAAGCACAGAAAGATTCAAACAGACGAGCAAATCTTCTTTTTTTCCTCCTCTGGTAAATCATTTAGTTTAAACGGCACAGCTGAATCTATACAGTTAACAAGATTGAAAAGACACACCAGGACCACACACAGCACTGAAAAGCTGTACAAACAGTATCATCTAAGTCAATGAATAAATGAAAAATAAAAAAGTGAATCCCTTAAGAAACCTCCACAAAGAAAGAGTACCTTTATTAGTACCACTACAGTACTACCACTACAGTAGTACCACTACAACCTGAAAGGATGTCTAGAAAGTTGTATTTGCAAACTTAAAGGTAACACTTTAATATATAACCTGCAAATTAGTGTGAATATTTTTATCATATGGAGTAGCAAATACAAAATGGTACATTTTTCTTCATTTAACATTGAGATCTACATACTGTATTTTTTTTCTGCTTAACAGTATCCGTTGGGGTGATAGACTGTACTGTGTAAACTATGCCACAATAAGGAATGCTGCAATTTGATTTTCATAATTCTTCTTGTGTCCTTCTTACCCAGTAATAATGTCACTGTACTCTGTAATTATTAAAGGGCTTCTTGGTAATTAAAGAAATACACACGGTGTAATTTATTTCTAAGTAGTCCTTCTCAAGCACAAATTCATACCCCTTCATTCTCTGACCACTTCCTCCCCCGTGTCTTGGTATAGGTATGCAGTAAGGTCATGTGCGGATTATAAATCAATGGGCACCTGGGCTCTGTAGTGGTTACGTATCTCTCTGTGGTTTTGTATCTCCTTATAGTCATTTTGTGTCTGTTTGAAGTTCATATTCATCTCTCTGTGATTTTGTACCTCTTCCTGGTCATTTGGAGTCTCTTTGTAGTTGTTTTGTGTCTCTGTGTCTCTTTGTAATTGCTTGATGCCTCTTTGTTGTCATTTTGAGTCTCTTTATAGTCGTTTTGTGTCCTTTTGTAGTAATTTTAGAATCAGAATCAGAATTGTTTTATTGCCAAGTATGTTTGCACATACAAGGAATTTGGCTTTGTGTGTGGTGCATAACAATAAACACAATGACCCATTACACAACACAATTTAAAAATAAAAGTCTCTTTGTAGTTGCTTTGTATCTCTTCGTAGTCATACTGTGTCTCTTAGTGGTTGTTTGTGTCTCTTTCTAGTAGTTTGTGCTCATTTTGAGTCTCTTCTTGTTAGGATGTGTCCCTTTGAGTGATATTTTGTAGATGAAGGCCAGGGCAGCTCTTTAGGTAATCCATCCATAAGATGTATTCTACTGATACCTTTTATATAGTACATAATTACACTGTAATATGTGGGCATGAATCTAAAGTGTTTTGCTGAAAAGATGTGCTTTTGTTCCTGTGCTCTTTACATGGGTATCGTGAACGAAACAACACTATTTGTGTTCCACATGTGTATCGTTTGCCACAGAAATGCCATTAATTCACATTACCTGTGTCCATCCTAATCTCGCCAAAAAAACAGACATGTCCCTGGCACCACTTGGACTTCATTTCCATGCACATGTCCCATTTAAAATAATGTCCTCAGTCCATGTGTGGGCATGGATGAGCATCACCATCTGCACAGTCAGCGCTATAGTCAGCAAAGCCATCAACTCCATTTCTTCGGCGGAAACAGTCCTTGACTTTCATATCTGAGATCCTCGCTGACAGGGAGGAAGTCTGCTGAGTACAGAGATGAGTTCCTCCTCTCTGGCTGAAGTTGGTGTTAATTAGTCACACCAGCTGCAGCAGACTCACTCCCCTCCTCAACACCTTGTTGCCTCACCACAGGCTGAAAGTCCACCATGAACTAAAAATACTGTATGATCTAGGGCTGAGTTATGGGTCTCATATTGTTTAGTTGTAATGATCTTGTATTGAGATGAAGCTGCTGTGTGGAGGCTTGGCACATCACATACATACATATAGGGTAATAACTTCAGAATTCTTCTTTTCCACAGGATCTTCTGTTAGATCGGGGGTGTGGGGGGTTGTGATTAGAAAGATGGCCACCAGAAAGGGTGCAAAACAAGCATCAAGTTGTATATGACCAACAGCCTGCACAGCACAACACAACATGAAAACTGTATCCCTGTGAGGCATACGTGAATATCAGCTCCAGTGTTCATAATATTAACAAGCAAAGTTTAAATGCAGGCTTTAAGCATCATGGGTTCAATGGCAATGGTAGTTTTTTTTTTTTTTGTTATCTACAGTGGCAACCTTTTGTCATATATATACATATATATATGTGTGTGTGTGTGTGTGTGTGTGTGTGTGTGTGTGTGTGTGTGTAATCTGGGCTGGGTTCTGCAAATTTGAAAATGTACTATAATTGAGGAGGCACTTGCAAAAGCTGTTTTTCCAGATGTCAAAACGCCTTCAGGGCCATTTTCCCATGGTGGAGAATAGGTTTCTATGGTAACAATCAGCGACACCTGCTGACCAGTGCCACCCACTGGCTCATGTGTTGTGGTCTCTGAGAAGGGGACAGAGATCCTCTAGCGACCATGGTAACCGGCTATAATATACAACACTGAGGACATCGTCGGCCCTTTTTTGTTTGCCCAAGGAAACTATGAAGAGCCTGACCGATGAGTTAGCAGAAGCACCGAGCCCTTGCCTTGCCACCCATCTATGCCCAAGTAAAATGTCCTTGTAACTGTTGAATTTCTCCAAAAGGGCAAACTGCTGAAGTGAGGGGAGATGAGCAGTTTGACGCTGTTTCACGCTCTGTTTTTGGTCTTAATTTGCCCAAAATTTATGACAAATCAGTCATCTTTAAAATAGTCAACAACTAGAGAGCTTTGTGCAACGAATACATTTAGACAGCTACCTGAGGTCTGACTGATCTGAGTGTATCGTTGTAGTTCCGTTCACACGCCCTCCAACTCTGAACGGTGTAATTTAATTTAATTTCTAACATTAAATTGCCTGAATTTACAACATGTACATTTGCGACAATTTTGGAGCCACCAGGAGCCGCATTTCTGCTCTTTCTAAAGAGGCTATAGCTGCATCCAGCCCCCCCCCCCGCATCAAGCTATCCAAGCTAACATGTCCCAGACCAGTTTCTCCACTGAACGCACATCCAACCATCTAGTTCCTCATCAGAAAGCAAACAGGTTGGACCCTTGAAGCGTCAAAGTAACAGAGCGTTACTGGGACTAGTTGGTGTCATCGTTGCTGAATTTAACAATTTGAATCCCTCGCTTGTTCCTAAAAAAGAAAGTAATCACAATTCTGTAAAATGTTACGAAACAGTTTCCAACACTGCCCTTCAGACAGAGAAGATGCATTCACACGACACTTGTCACTCAATATGACGCAATAATAGTCTTGAAAAAAAGTCTACCAACTGAGATTTTTAATACTTTCCGAGTCTGAAAGTACAATGACCTCGTCTTTTTTTTTTATGTATCGGCTTGTAAATATATGGTGATGTGACATATGTCTACAATCAAAATGAGTTTAAGAGAGAGGATCATTTTCCTGAGTTTCACACTCAACAGGTTTTTTATCCTGAAAGAAGGAAACAGAGACCGATCACGCCCTGAAGCCTCAGTGGCTTTGTCTCCTCCCCTCGGGTCCAGGTGTAATGAACAGCGCTCATGTGGAACAGCATGGCTGCAGCAATATCCAAGCAACCATACTTACCTACAAGGAAAACAACCACAAACACACACACACACACACCCCCACTCACGTCTGAGGGCTCTGTCCCCATGACTTTACACTGCGTTTCAGCGGGACAGTCGCCACACTTCATTTTCATGTCACAGTCCACACCTTCGTCAGTCAGACGTTGGTGCAGTTAGTCGACGGCGGCGTGTCCGCCTTGCTGCGGATCTCCTTGACGTCGTTGAGCGCGGAGTCCCTGCCGCCGATCTGGCATTTGAACACTTGCTTGTAAGCCTTCCTGAAGTTCTCTGACAGGAAGGCGTAGATGACCGGGTTGACAGACGAGTTGCTGTACGCCAGGCAGTGGGCGGCCACCCGTAACACGAAGGAGGCCTGGTTCAGCGGGAAGGTCCCGAACTCCACCCACAGGTGTACGACGTGATGAGGGAGCCAAGAGAGGCAGAACACCACCACCACCACCAAGACAGTTTGAGCAGTCTGGGAGCCACACATTGGGAACAGAGAGAGGAGTGGGAGAGGGATTTAGTCAGTGCCGGCAGGGACATCAATGAGAATATCAATGCTGTACTCAGGGTTAAATCACATTCAGGATAAGGGAATAAAGTTAGCTTTTCTTCTGTGGCTGCTTGAGTCTTTATTCTCATTCCATCGTGTGCTGCTATACACCAAAATGTTGACGTATATCATCTTCAGACTACAAATTTCACGCGTAGTTGGTGATATCATTTTTCTATTACTTTCACTGAATGACTCCGTGATTACTATCTTTTAATACACAGTGAACTTCCTGGCCAAATTGAGACTATAAGGTTCAAACTAACTTTCAACAGCAGATGAATACAAAAAAATAAATACTGAAGTTCACCTGCGTTCAGCACATCAACCACTCTGAGTTACTGGTATGTACAGTATGTTTTATTATGAAGCCTAGTGCATGCAAATATGTTAGCATGGTGCTAAGTCAATTTTATCATTAAAAAGGTTGGGCAACATGCCAGTCCCAAAATATTTCCTTAAAGCTACATTAATGTTTTGTTTTGGCATATTATCCGTGTTATCATGGCAAAAGTTTAATTAAGCAGAAGTTGCCTATTTCAAACATCCTGCAGGCACAGAGCAACACTCGCGTTTATGTGGAGTTGTGTTTTATTCTCTCTCCTCTGTTTACCAACTCCTGAGAAACATATCTGTCTCTTCAGCTCCTAAATAATCCACTATGTTCACCAGCTAGTGACTAAGCTTGTTCATCTGCCATGTGGTGCGAGGTAATTATTGGATTCAACGCTTTTCACCGAAAACAGCTGCCTGCTGGCGCTTGAAACAAAGTTGATAATAAATTGCGGATTGAAAAACCAAAACAATGTGTAAAAAGATGCACAAATGCATAATTTAGCTGATTGACTTGGTGATAATAATCTATTGGTTTGTTATTATGAGCGACCCCTTTCACACTGCACATTGTCATTTGATCCATTGTTAATATGAAAACATATAACATATGTAATCAACGATAAGTCCAGCTTTTAATTGATGAATATTAGATGTATTTCCTTCTTAAACCAATTCTCATTCAGGGCCTTATAAAAAGCTTATGAAACTGTATTTGTCACGGCCAGGCCGTGCCTCCTGCTTGTCCTGTGTGTGTGTGTGTGTGTGTATGTGTGGGTGTGGTATGGGCAGGGCTCCGACCTGGTCTCCTCCCGGCTTCCTGATTACAATTCACCTCACCTGCCCAGTCAAACCAGCTGCATTCCATCAACTCATCACTCAACAGTAGATCTACCCTGGTTCTTCATCCACTCTTCGCTAGATCGTTGTTACAGCTCACGTGGTGGTTAGTCGTTCTTGGCTGCTTCAGAGTTTTTTCCCCAAGTGTTTTTCATTGCATTGACCCTGTCTCCCTGTTCCCGCAGTTTTGTTCATCCTCCTGGTTCCCCAGTCTACCTGCCCTGCCCTATCTCCTCCTGCCTGGATTCCACCCTTGCCCTCCCTGGATTTTCCCGCTGTGCTCTGGTTGTTTCCCCCCCTTGGTTTCCTGGTTAATAAACCTTTACACCCATACTCCCTGGTCTGTGCTGCGTTTGGGTCCACCTCCACACCCCGTGACAGAATTAAACTGACTAGCGCCACATAAATCACATTATCCTGTTGACATTTCACTCTGCAATCCTGTAGATGTTTACATCGCCCTCATATCATATCACTTGCACAGTGAATACTATACATACACTATAGAACATCTCATTCCAGTCTTGTACGTCTCCAGAGCTACATATTAAAGGAGCTTTTCATCCATAAGGCGTGTTCGGCTTATAGGCTCTTTATAGGTTTAACACTAACTTGTATGTAATAAAATGTATTATATTCTTACTGAATAATTAGAAGAAAACTCCATGAGGAGAAAACAATGTTTAAAGTGAATAGTGACTGTACACTGGCAGAATACGACAGAGAGATCTGCACAGACTGAGATCATTCTGCTCTGCTGCTCTAAACAGCAGGACATGTTCTCTCTTGCAGTTACCACCGACAATAGAACCGATCCTTATACAAGACACAACAATTAGATACAATTAAACGGGATGTACTGACGATGATAACCAGACATATAAAACTTGGAAACTTCATCTTCATGTGACAATGATGGCAAATCACTTTTATGGAATGTCTAAGAGAAAAGTGGTGGATGTTTGTTTGTTTTTTCCAGGCAAGACTATTGGTAAAGCTAAAGCCTACAGCTGGGAAGTGTCATTATAAAAACACTAATTACATGCTGTCATGCCCATCCACTGCATTTAGAAGGAAAAAAAATAGAATAAATAAATTCAGAGGAGCCACAAAGTAACTAGAAATGCTGCCTCCTCTGTAGTTTTGTTCAAGGAAAGTTAGAAATGACAAATAAAACATGATACAATGTGTCCAATCTAGCTATTTGAGCATGTTGTAACTATCAGAAATCCCATGGTTTTGGTTTGATTTAAGTGTTAAGTGACACACTGAGCAGGGAAATCTACAGAGTCATAAAGAATCATAAACATGAATAAATGCATTCATACATACTGACATTTGACTGATACAGTCTTTAGATGAACGATGCTGAATTGTTGCTGCCGTATTTGAAGCTGCCATAGTAACCAGACTCTACCATGACCAACGGAATCTAACTTTTTTCAATTGTTCCACTGCATTTCCCTTTGAGTAGCACAGAACAACATTCATTCACACAGTGCCCAATGCTCCATATGCCATATGAATTCTGGGTAACACTCATTGGCGCTTTTGCATTAGGGGCCCCTGGGGTACGGCCCCACTAGAGGGCGCTGTTGTACAGAAGAAGTTATAGGCCTTTTTACATTTCAGACACAATAATGGCAAACTTTCTACTTCATAGATTTCTTCAATTTTTCATCATAGTTGGAATGAAATCTCTACTCTAGAAAAATATTGATTTGTAGTGTGTAAATGTGTAAATGTTTAAATGTGCACGTGTTGATGGCCAGGGACCCTATAAGCATCACATTGGTTGATTTTAATGGGTGTACACGTATTGCTAGCTAAAGAGGAACTGATATTGTGCGTGCGCTAACGTTACAACAGTAGTGATGACTCGTGTGGAATATCTAACTACAGTACGATTTAGCACATTACCCCGAGAGCAAAAATTGGAAATAAAACGTTTAGGACCACATCGACCCGATGACTTGATCGTATCTCAAGAAGGACAAGATTTTAAAAAAAAGGTTCAAAAGGAAAACTTGGCTAACTGCTAGCATATCAAAAAAAGCTCTGTTCTACTTTCTATGTCTTCTTTTGGGAGAGGAAACTGTCTGGACAGCAAGTGGATTTAAAGACTTGAAACCTTTTTTTCGGAAGGCTGGTAAAATACAAGAGTTGTGCATCGCATGTGGATAATGCCATTAAGTTGGGCTTACTGGGAACAGCGAACGTTTCCTCTCAGCTTGACGGTGTGTACAGACGTGACATTAAACAACACAACCGTCAGACTGAAGAAAACAGGCATGTTCTTGGCAGAATTATCACCTTTACAAAACTTTGTGAAAAGTGCGAAATTGCCTTTCATGGACGTGACGAGGGCTCATTAAACCCTGGCATTTCTAGATGCAAATTTAAGACTATGAGCGAGGGAGACTCCAGGCTAAGAAAGCATTACGATGCTCAACCCTATATAAAGGGCACTTGGATTGCATGTACAATGGATGAGGTTGCTTAACAGCTGGCAGATGCACTTTTCATTGCTGTGCAGGCAGATGAGACCACGGATGTGTCCTGCAAGTCACAACGAGGCCTATGGTCTGTCCATTCAACTGCTGGAACCAAAGTTCCTACAGCTATTGCAGTTTTTTTCTGAGCTCATGGCAGAAGTGGATATTCTATACAATGTACTGAAAAAACAGGAAATTGATGAGGCTGGCATCAACCAGGGGATGGGCACCTTCAAGAAGAATGTAGGGTGTCTCAGGGAACGAGCCAACGTGATTGTGCGAGAAAGCAGAGCAGAAGGGAATAAGAGGAAAATCAACACGTATGCAATCATGAAAAAAGGCCTGCGACACCGTGTCAAGTCAAGTGGAGGAGAGGCTCACTAAAATGACTATTTGATTGCAGCAAAACCCAATTGATTGCAAACTTTTCCCAAAGTTTGTAAAATGATTTCCAGAGGTTGAACTTGAATGCGCTGTTAAACTACGGCCTGTAACAAATAAGGCACAACTGAAAACCCTCCACCAGCAAAGTGAACCGAGCAAAGGCGACGCCGCACTTTCTCCATTGAAGTCCATTCCATGAAAACAACTTCCAGGAGTCCTTGTCTGAAGCCTGCTGTGACAATTCTTCAAATCATCATCACAACACCAACGACCAGCGCTGAATCAGAGAGAAACGTCTCCACTCTGAAAGGAATAAAGACATTTACATGGAATAAAATGGGAGCGCAATGGTTGAATGCCCTGGCTATGCTATTTATTGAAAATGAACTCATCCATGGACTGTTGCATTTTAATAGCAAGGTCACAGAGACGTTTGCACACATGAAGGACCGCCGCACCTCATTCCTCTTCAAGAAGTGAACTTCATCGGTGAGTCAAAAGTCTTGTTAAATGTTGAAGTATCGACTGCTGTATTGGCTGAAATGTATTCGCAGTGCGCCGTTCACTGCATGCGTTTTGCTTTGCGTTTCTGTTGTCCTCATGTTGGTGTTGTTTCGGTCATGGGTAGGCCATTTGATGATAAGAGATCTTTAACATTGTTCTTTGGTGGTCCTATATGTTGGTGTGATAAAATATGTTGTCAAATCTTCACTGTGTGATTTTAAATGGCATTATTCTGATGGAATTGTGTCATCACTGCTGTTGGTGATATATTGGTGTCTCCCCCCCCCTCTCACTCGCGCACAGTTTATTGGCTGTTTCAATGTTGATATAACTATGGTATGTTTGGATTGCATCAATAAATTTTCT